CACAGTTGTGGCCTGCCATATATTTCCAAATCATGATAACAAAGAGTGTTCAAGTCCCCTGACCTCAAGCGCTTAGCAGCGCAGCACAAACTCTCGTCGAACTCACCGAAGTGGAGACTCCACATCAGCGCCACCTCAACAGCATACACACAAGCGGTGAACAGAGCATACAATATCAGCCAGCACCTGATAAATAAATCAGACACCAGCGCTACAAAAACAAGAGAGAGCCAGACCAGCGGGACGACGAAACAGTCAAACATTGAGGACGCAGAAGAAGCACAGCACCAACAGTCTCTGACGTCGATGAAGCTCACACGATGAACTCTCTGACAAGCAGCTATGGCTGCACCTCGCCAACTTCACCCTAAACTTGACTAAGGTCTGAGGCTTACCGCACGGTCTCCACTATCAGTCCTGTGATAGGCTAGACCGCTGCTAGCCCCAGACTCATGCAGCACACAGGAGGACTGCCACTACTCAGCTCATGCAGCACACCGCACACAACAGGTGACACACAACACGCACAACACATACCACACAACTCACAGCACACAACACACAACACATAACACACAACACACAACAGCTCATGCAACACATAGCACACACCACGCAGCAACTCGTGCAGCACACAACACACACCGCACAGCACACAGCAGCTCAAATACCACACAGCACACGGCTCACAACAGCTCATGCAGCACATAACAGCTCTGCTGGATCGCCAGTACGCAACTCATGCAGCACACAACACAATAGCGGTTGTGTGTCGGGCCCAGACTCGTGCAGCAAATGTCGTGCACAGGAACTCACACCACGAAGTATGAATTGGGCAGAAAGATCCCCCAGCATGCATCTACACTTTACATACGCCTGCCCTAGTCTGCGCTACCACCTATACCAACGACACCGACTCAACTTGCCCAGTTTTGGCCTGGACCTTACCCGGCTACGGGCTCATCCCACAGAATAGCGATTGACACCGCTGGCTTTCCGAATAGCCCGGGGCTGTCAATTCGACAGTGAGGTCGTATGCACAAGAGCGGTTGGTACTGGCCCAACAATATTCAGAATTGCATATGGGGCGTGCGGTCAGTCCCAACAAACTTAGTCAACGGTCAAGCCCACACACAAACAAAACAACGAATCTGCACTACTACAGTACAGCCCCTGTGTCCCACCGCAGGCTGCAGATAACAGCAAGTCAATGCAAGTCACGTGGCGCGGTCTCAGTGCAGTCTTCACTGTGTTCTTATCTCGTGCTTTTCTTTGCTGCATTGCCTTTACGCGGGGCTCCTTTCCTCTTCGATGACGCCGCTGGAGTGTCACCGCCTTTGCGTGCTGCTGCTGTCTTCCCTGACAGCCCCTTCCCCGCCCGCGCATCTTTCTCCTCTTGCCTTGCAGCATTCATCTTCCGTAGCTTTTCTGCTCTCTTCTGCTCGTCGGTAATGCCTTGGTATCTGTATTCCCAACGAGCCTTGGACAAGTTATCAACCAACCTCAGGTCCTTCAGCTGGATCGTCACCCTCTTGCAGTGGATAGCAATGATGTTCGTTCTCTCGAAATGGTTGATGAGATATGTTTCCGTCGCTTCCATCAACGCACGTATGGCGCTCATCTGAAACCTCATAGACTCCCCCGGTGCGATATCTGTTTCGACGATCTCGCCCACTACCCTCATAAATGGCCTCAAAGCGATGCACAAGTTAGTAGATCGTTGGAGTTGCCGAATCTCTGCCAATGCTACCATCCCCGGGCGGCGCCTGCGCTTAGGAGTTGGGGCAGCGGCTGCTTTGGGAGTCTCGCCTCTACGTGGGACAACTTTTTCTTTGCCTTTTGCTTTTGTGGGACTCCTGGGATGACGAGGYGGTCTGGACGTGCACTGCTTCTTCTTCTTCTCTGCCCTCCCTGTCACGTGCTCCACAGGGGTGTCACCGTCGTCGGGCTGTGCGTGAGAACATCCCCCATCATGTGYCGTTTCYGGGGCGTCRACCTCAKAGGAGAAATGTGAAATGTCCTGCTGCTGCTGTGCTGTTTGTTGAGGGTTGATTGCAGCACGACCGTCGTCATCACCCGCGTACTGAATGTGTCGCAGCAGTCCATCCATGAACGTGAGCTGGAAAGGGACACCCAAAGGATCTCTCAATCTCATGCACATCTGTTCCCCATGCTCATATGTCATGGGACAAACGATAGGGACCCACCCAAGTAGTGATGTGCACCCGTATCTGCGTCGAATGCCCTCCAGCAACAAGTTATTCGTCGAGGGCCGTGGTTGGTCGGTGCACGCGTCTTCCACAATGAACCACATCGCCCGGTCATTGTGGTCGTCATATCCCATGCACACCATCTGCCGATCTTCCTCCCTTATCTTCTCCCAACAACGTTGAGCGTGTTCCTCCAGCAATCGCCGGTCCCTCACATGAGGATTGCAAACGGAAACACGTGTCACCACCACCAAGAACTGCCAATGCTCCACAATGCCAGCATGCATCCAACCCAAAGGCAGCCACTCACCGGATTGCATCCTTGCTGGCAGTGTCACTTTGCCATCAACAACTGCTGGATGCAAAGAACCAGGTACCCAGTTGACATGGTACCCGTACATGTCACGGGCCACATGCTGGTATAACTGCCCTTTTTGAATCACATGCGCTGCAATGTTACTGGCTGCGACGACATCCTTCCGCATTGCTGTATGGTCCCATACGTCCATATAGATGCCATCAAATGTGGCTTCTTTCCCCATAACGTGGACGTATGTGATGCGCTTCTCACCAGTAAACACCTTCCCTTCAGCGAGGGCCAACTCGACAGGATTGTCGAGTGGCGGGTCAGAAATGCGTGCATCGCGTGGCCTGCATCTCATCGCTTCTTTTTCCTCTGCAGTTRCTTCTCTGTCGAAATGACGGAA